AATTTAAGTCATTTTTTCTCCATTCTTTTCTTATATTAAATGAATGACAGAATTCATACTTAATGATTAGCATATATAGTATTGTAATTAAATATACGATGCAAATTAATTTCATTTTTCTCATTGGTTTCTGGCGTTGCTCAGTTTATATTGGATAAGTTTATATTTCTTTGTCAGTAAGCTTCTTGAGATAATGTATTTCAGTGTCAAAATGACTTCTTCAGATAAGTTTTATCAATGTTATCGTTTTGTGCAACGACCATAGTTCAATCATAGATGTATTCTGCAGTATGATATTGTAAAAGAAAATGCAAATTACCATGAAATTTATCAAATATTTTTGGATAAAAAAAAGAATTAAACATTTAGGAGTAATAAAACTTAGAAGAACAATCCATTGATAATATCAAGGGGTCTAGGCAAGTCGAAAAATCGATGTGCTAAACTCTCGAAACAACTGCTATTATTATTCACTTTCTTTTTTCAGATTGGAAATGTCGTATGAGATCAAAAGCGCGGGAGGAAAAATTCAAATACGTCGGTTATAAACAATTACTATGTCCAAATAATGCGGGCAGGTATCTGGATCTTCATTAGTGATGGGACGAATCTTACTCCTCCATTAGGTTTGCCATTTTATTGTCAGACAAATGCAATGCTAAATTAGTTGTTGTTTTTAAAATCTTTTCATGCTGTATGCCCATACTTCTTGTTGACATAATAAGTCTCAGTTATCTGTTACATTTAATCATTTAATTCTTCAAACAATACGATTTCTTCGATCATCTTCCCTGATTATTTCTTCAATAATCTGTAGAATTCTATCGAATATTGAAGAAATTATCTGCAAAGAATATTGTGATTTGTTTCCCTGAGCTCGAATTTTTGCTCTTAATTCGGATATGTCAAAAATTATTTGATTTTTATTAATATATAATGCTTCTATAAGCCGCTAACTACAATGAATATTTAGCCCTTTTTCCTTTCTTTTTAAATACGTTTATAAGATTTATTCAGGTATGTTACAAGTCTCATAGAAGATTCTTTCGCGCTCATGAAGATTTTTTTTTTCATCCAATATATGGAGACTGTTGCATCCTTTTTTTCTTCGAATATTCTTTGGTCTCTACTACATCTCATTCTAACATCCTCGTACTATATCATATCCTGTACATCTTATCATTCTTCTACATAAACATTTTTTTTTTTCTTCTCTCAATTATTTCTATTATTAATGCAGATTTTTGTTCATTTTCTTAGGAATGAATAGTCAAATAAAGGCTACGTACAAATTACCACTTCTGATTTTTACACAATTTAATAAGATTTTTTCAGCAATTCTTTCTTTCATGTTCTATTTCGTGGAATAAAAATGAAAATGGATAATCGAAAATTTGTGGTCGAGCTAAGTCATCGTGGATAGTTCAAAAAAGTTTTTTTTTCAACACTTAGGCAGTAAATCAAAAAGTCTTTTTGTAAACAGCTCCTATAGCTGCATTGTTCAATACAGTACTTGGTGGATGCCATAATGATACAAAAATTTAGACGACCTTGGAAATACAAGGAATAGAACATGAAAGAAAGAATTGCTAAAAAAAATCTTATTAAACTGTGCAAAAATCAGAAGTGGTAATTTGTACGTAGCCTTTATTTGACTATTCATTCCTAAGAAAATGAACAAAAATCTGCATTAATTAATAGAAATAATTGAGAGAAGAAAAAAAAAAATGTTTATGTAGAAGAATGATAAGGATGTACGAGGATATGATATTAGTACGAGGATGTTAGATTGAGATGTAGTAGAGACCAAAGAAGTATTCGAAGAAAAAAAGGATGCAACAGTCTCCATATATTGGATGAAAAAAAAAATCTTCATGAGCGCGAAAGAATCTTCTATGAGACTTGTAACATACCTGAATAAATCTTATAAACGTATTTAAAAAGAAAGGAAAAAAGGGCTAAATATTCATTGTAGTTAGCGGCTTATAGAAGCATTATATATTAATAAAAATCAAATAATTTTTGACATATCCGAATTAAGAGCAAAAATTCGAGCTCAGGGAAACAAATCACAATATTCTTTGCAGATAATTTCTTCAATATTCGATAGAATTCTACAGATTATTGAAGAAATAATCAGGGAAGATGATCGAAGAAATCGTATTGTTTGAAGAATTAAATGATTAAATGTAACAGATAACTGAGACTTATTATGTCAACAAGAAGTATGGGACATACAGCATGAAAAGATTTTAAAAACAACAACTAATTTAGCATTGCATTTGTCTGACAATAAAATGGCAAACCTAATGGAGGAGTAAGATTCGTCCCATCACTATGAAGATCCAGATACCTGCCCGCATTATTTGGACATAGTAATTGTTTATAACCGACGTATTTGAATTTTTCCTCCCGCGCTTTTGATCTCATACGACATTTCCAATCTGAAAAAAGAAAGTGAAATAATAATAGCAGTTGTTTCGAGAGTTTAGCACATCGATTTTTCGACTTGCCTAGACCACGTGGATATTATCAATGGATTGTTCTTCTAAGTTTTATTACTCCTAAATGTTTAATTCTTTTTTTTATCCAAAAATATTTGATAAATTTCATGGTAATTTGCATTTTCTTTTACAATATCATACTGCAGAATACATCTATGATTGAACTATGGTCGTTGCACAAAACGATAACATTGATAAAACTTATCTGAAGAAGTCATTTTGACACTGAAATACATTATCTCAAGAAGCTTACTGACAAAGAAATATAAACTTATCCAATATAAACTGAGCAACGCCAGAAACCAATGAGAAAAATGAAATTAATTTGCATCGTATATTTAATTACAATACTATATATGCTAATCATTAAGTATGAATTCTGTCATTCATTTAATATAAGAAAAGAATGGGAAGAAAAAATGACTTAAATTGTGCGAATACTTTTACAGACTGCAAGCAATTACCATAGCCTACCAAGGATAGAAAAAATAATAGTGCAATAACAATCTATGGCGACACTCACATAGTATAATAGTAGTATGTACTAGGGATCAGAAAGGAAAGCGGAAAAAAGAAAGCGCTAGAAAAAAAAAAAGGATGGAATAGTATCTATATGCACAAACGAAAATGTTTTCATGTCTCTATGAATGAAATATAGATTGGTTAGTCTGTGTGTGTGTGTGTATGTGTGTGTGTATGTGTGTATTGTGCGTGTGTATGTGTGTATGTATGTATGTGCGTGTGTGTGTGTGTGTGTGTGTGTGTGTGTGTGTATGACCAAATCGATGCACTTAGATTACTGATAACAGTAATTATAAGATTTCCATTGATGTAATCAATACTTTTATCTAATTATTAGACAAAGAATAAGAATAGATAAAGATTTCTTGCTATAATTTAAAACAAATTTGTACAAAATTAAAACGAAATTAAATAAGAATTGAAAGAGTAGAAAAAATTGGTTTAGCAGAAAAATTACTAAAAAAAAGAATAAAACATTGTTGACAACAATTATTTGTTCAAGATATTTAATTTTATATATGTAATGAAACTATAATGAAAGTTATTTTAAATTTACATTTTATTCCTGTTTAATTCTAAAAATTCAAATCATTCTATCATAATAATAATTAAGTAGTAAGTAATTCTTAAAGGAATGAATTATATGCTAAAAATTGCAGAAATATTGAAACAAAAGGAAAAAAAAATCAATCAAATTAAATTTTTAAAGGTAAAAATTAAGAAAATAAGAAGTGGTTATGATAAAGGTTATGAAATCGTTAGTCTTTAATTCAAAATGCATAGTAAAAAAAAATACATAATTATATGAAGCAACGAGTAAAACAATGGATATATATCGAAAGTGTTAAGAAAGTACTATTCCAAAAGATATTTTCCATTAAGAGTTTGTCTTGCAACTGAAAAGACTGCACGATATATGTAGGTAATGCTATCTTGATAAATTACTTAGCTTTAACTTTCTAAAAAATGTCGAGGTCAGGAAGTTAAGCATTTAAAAAATAAACTACAAGACCAGACAAGTAAATTTCAATAATAGAAGAAGTAAGAGGGATCAAATTGATGTTTGGAATAAAAATGAAAATGGATAATCGAAAATTTGTGGGCGAGCTAAGTCATCGTGGATAGTTCAAAAAAGTTTTTTTTTTCAAAGTTTAGGCAGTAAATCAAAAAGACTTTTTGTAAACATATCCCATAACTGCACTGTTTTTGGTCAATACAGTACCTGGTGAATGCCATAATAACATAAAAATTTAGACGACGGTACGAAATAGAACATGAAAGAAAGAATTGCCAAAAAAATCTTATTAAATTGTGCAAAAATCAGAAGTGGTAATTTGTACGTAGCCTTTATTTGACTATTCATCCCTAAGAAAATCAATAAAAATCTGCATTAATTAATAGAAATAATTGAGAGAAGAAAAAAAAATGTTTATGTAGAAGAACGATAATACATATAGTACAAAGATGTTAGATTGAGATGTAGTAGAGACCAAAGGAATATTCGAAGAAAAAAAAAGGATGGAACAGCCTCCATATATTAGATGAAAAAAAAAAAATCTTCATGAGCGCGAAAGAATAAAGACTCTCGAGCGCGAAAGATTGCGGAGAAATACTATTATTATGAATGTTCATTTTCGTCACTATTTTCGTGTCTTTTTGTTGTGTCAGAATTATGGTTAAAAGAAAGGATCAGGGAAAGTATGGGATATTTAATGATTAGCATAAAATTGAATTATGTGTAGGTAAATTAAAATTTGTAAATCGGTGTTTTTTTACCCTATGTTCTTTTACCATAAGTAAATAATAGTTACGTCACTGGTTTTTGTGCTTAATGAATATTTGATAAGTTTGCTAATTTTATAGAATTGCGGCTCTCATGGAGGATCAAGAAATAGAAATACTTTTCGAATACCTTAAAAGTGAGCCGGAGATGTACCGGATTTTGCAATGGTTCGTGAGCAGGACTGTTCAGGTAATTTTCACTTTGTCTTCCTCTTTCTTTAAAGTTTGTTCCACCCGCTGTATGGATTTAGAAAAAAATGCAAACGTTAATGCTGGCATAACTCACTTTAGTGTTTGAATTGATGATATGCCCTTACAGCACCACATAAATAAACAGCGGTAAATCAGAAACGCCTGCATGGAATTTGCAGACATTATGCAAGCAAAATACAATAAAAGACTATAAAATTCGCTGCCATCTTTAAATTCATGCAAAAAATACGTGATAAAAGACCATACAGCGGGTGGAACAAACTTTAAAGAAAGAGGAAGACAAAGTGAAAATTACCTGAACAGTCCTGTTCACGAACCATTGCAAAATGCGGTACATCTCCGGCTCCCTTTTAAGGTATTCGAAAAGCACTCCGATTTCTTGATCCTCCATGGAAGCCGCAATTTTATAAAATTAGCAAACTAATCAAATATTCATTAAGCACAAAAACCAGTGACGTAACTATTATTTACTTATGGTAAAAGAACATAGGTAAAAAAACACCGATTTACATATTTTAATTTACCTACACATAATTCCATATATGCTAATCATTAAATATCCCATACTTTCCCTGATCCTTTCTTTTAACCATAATTCTGACACAACAAAAAGACACGAAAATAGTGACGAAAATGAACATTCATAATAATAGTATTTCTCTGCAATCTTTCGCGCTCATGAGTCTTTATTCTTTCGCGCTCATGGAGATTTTTTTTTTTTCATCCAATATATGGAGACTTTTCCATCCCTTTTTTTCTTCGAATATTTCTTTGGTCTCTACTAAATCTCAATCTAACATCTTTGTACTATGTGTATTATCGTTCTTCTATATAAACTTTTTTTTTCTTCTCTCAATTATTTCTATTAATTAATGCAGATTTTTATTGATTTGATTTGTCTTAAATATTTGGACTAAAATTTTGTAACTTATGTATTACAATTTTTTTTCGTTCAATTAATGCATTAATCTGATATATTCAAATGAAAAATGCCTAAATGCGTGGGACAGAAAAAATATTTTAGAACTTGAAACAAAAAATAAAATTTGGTTAAACCAATAAACTAATATTTTAGTTTGGTTCAAAATTTGCAACATCAAATTCTAAGACAGAACAAATTTTTTATCCTAACTAAATGAAACATAGAAATTGCATACCTCAATGAATGAATGCAACATAATTCCAGTACCAGTAGAGGGGTAGCACACAAACGTACAAAGTATCTTGGTATTTCCGCGGGAGCAATTGCAACGGGATAGCAACCATTCGATTTCTTTCACTTACCAATATTTCTTTCTAAATTTTTTAGCAGAAAAATACCCTTAATATTCAATTTTCTTTAACACCCTTAATATTCAATTTTCTTTATTTATTATTTTTTTGTTCTAAGCATACCACAATATTCGTTGCATTACCATATCAAAGAACATTTTGCGCCAAATCTTATATCCAATATAAATATAATGCAAAAGAAGAAGAAATTCTTACTCATTTTCACTCACAATATTTCCAAAAGTAATCTATTTTATAAGTCCAAATTACTTAGAATAAAGTAATAGACCAGGTGCAAAATTCATTCACAACAGAATAAATAGATGAATGATAATCTAATTTAATTGTGACATAAATCTTAACATAAAGATTTTCAAATATTTTTAAATATAATTTACTTAATGTGTTTATAAAGTTTAAAAACATTTTTAGAAAAATTTAATAAAAAAATTTAAAAAAAGAATAAAAATTAAGATTACAGAAGCACAAAAGAAAAAATTAAAAAAATAGGGTACATTATGAAAACACAATTCCATATTGTAAAATACCTACTGCATTGACAGAGAAATTGCATTTCCACGGGAAATCATATTCTATTGTGACATCTTTTGCTGATATACATTGTAAGCCATAATGAAGGATTACATTGATATCGCGACACTGACTGAATGCGAGAATTCGTATTAACGGTTCTTTTCGGCATAAGTCCAAAAATGCTTTATAGATAAAAAAGGTATCATCTGTCACATCTTTTGTGTAATTCATCATTGATGGAATCTTTTGAAATTCCGACTTCATAAACAAATCCCATCTTAATGATGAAAACGTTTGTTGTGCAAAAATTAAAATCTGCTTAATGAATATTTGAATTTGATGCAGTATCTCATAAGCTATCATCATTACATTTTGCTTCCCTTTATCCGAAATTCCGGTTCTGTTTTAAGATGTTACAGTATTTAATTTTAAACTTATTGATAGTTCATCATAAAATGATACATGACCGAAATGTATTATGCAGCACAAAGTCATTAAGTTCAAAAAATTCATTTTAAAATGAATTATATTTTTCCAGCATTGGCAGATTTAATTTGAAACAGAATTATTAAAAATTAAAACATTTTTAGTATTTATTTTATTAAAATTTTTAAAATCTGTCGAAATTTCTTATGTAACCCTATCTGGATTTGTGACTAAAATTAATTTTAATATTTAAAAAATATTTGAAATCAATTATAAATGCAGATTTCATTAATTTCTGCAATGAAAGTTTGCTTTAAAGTAAACTTTTAAAGTCCAAAGTTAGCATAAAATGTCAAAAATAGTAAATAAAATGTCAGCTGATCAAGTTTAGTGCAAATAAAAGAAATCAATTAAGTTCAATAAATGTTTATTTTTAGATAAAATGTATTTTTCCAGCATTGGCAGATTTTATTTGAAACAGAATTAATAAAAATTAAAACATTTTTAATATTTAATTTATTAAAACTTTTAAATCTGCCGAAATTTCTTAAGTAACCCTATCTGGATTTGTGACTAAAATTAATTTTAATATTTAAAAAATATTTGAAATCAATTATTATTGCAGATTTAATTAATTTCTGTAATGAAAGTTTGCTTTAAAGTTGACTTTAAAGTCTTAAGTTACCATAAAATGTCAAAAATAGTCATTGTGACAGAAAATTACTTTAAATTATCATCCAAGATATAAAATTCATTAATATAAATTAATTGGATCGAATATTTTTTTTTTATTTTTCACGTAATAATTAATCACATATTTATATTTTCGAATTCCGTAATCAGAACTATCATAATCAGGTAAATGATTAGCCTTAAATAAGAATTGATTAGCTTATTTTATACTGAAAAAGGAAATTGTTTATCTTTAATGACTAATCAATAAATCAATAAAATCAAGAAGGATGTTTACCTTTAATGATAATCTATTTTCAAGTAATGTTGAATTAAAAATCTATCATGAATATACGCTATAATCATTCCGTTTTTTTTTTTTTTTTTTGTACTGTTTTAGTTTTTCATCTGCGAGTAAACAAATATTACGGAGAAAATTAATTTTTGTATTTGTGTATTTTTTTTTTTTTAAACAAGTATTAAGAATTAATTTTTGTATTTTAAGAACTAAAAAGTCCCAAAAAGATTAGTTATTGTCTTTTGAAAATTATTTAAGAAGAAATTATTATAAATTGGAATAAATGAAATTTTTTTGCTATTTTATTGAAAGTTAACAGTTAATCCCTTTTAGCTATATTCTAAAATTACTTCTATAAATAGCAATCAAATTTCATTTAGCTTTCATATTAGCTTTCATTCTAAAACATGGACATTTTTTTTTTTTTTTATAATTTTGATTTAGCTCTTCTCAATAATCATTTGGCTCTTTAGTATATATTAAACTGTTAGCCAAGAAGATAATAGCCAAGAACCTAGGCAAAAAGCTAGCCAATAATCTGCATGTTATTGTTTAGTATGCTTCACTGCATTCAAACTGTGTCACTCTGTTTTCTTTTGACATTTTGCTTTTCGCTTTTTTATATTTGACGGTATTGAAAATTGTCGATGAGAAAGAGAAATATAAATTCTTCCAAAATGGAAGAATTTATATTTTTACTTTTGATAATTGTCTTCTTGCAAAAAATTAATTGAAAATTTAAAATATTTTAAAATCAGTCATTTTTTTTTTTATAAATCATTTTTTTAAAAAACAAAAAACAATTATTTTTGAATCGTTTAGGCTTTTATACAAATTTCAGTATAGAAATTGGTGTGAATAATGTAATCTAAATAATTTAGAATTTAAAAAAAAAATTCTTCAAAATTAATCCTTAAAATTTATTCTAATATTTCTATTTCTAAAATTTATTTTAATGTAAAAATTTTCCTCAGTGATACAAAAAAGACAAATAGCATCGCTAGTAACAAATATTAGTTTAATTGAAAAATGCATAATTTTATTTTTGTATTTTAGACATTCATTCATTCATTCATTACGAATTATAGCAAATTCTTAACAGAGTAACTTCTTAAGAGAGTAACTTCACTTATTAAAAGAGTTTTTATTTAAAAGAATGTAAAAATTTTGAAGAAACTTGAAAAGTATTCAAGTGATAGTAGTATTAGGATAAATTTTGATAAGCACTCTTAAATTTGCACAAAATTTCAGATCACATTTCACTCACTTTATTTTTCAACGATTAAATTATCGTTCTGTTCAATCTTCTCTGAAATTTGATCATATCATAACATTTCACTACAATCGTTGTAAATTAATCAGATATGCCAAGACAGATATCATCGATTAGTTAACTAATGATTTGAATTAAATTTTTTTCAATAGATTTATAATTATTGTTATTTACTACAATCAATTATTATTATTATTAATTATTTTTCATTATAAAGAGAAAAGGAAGTGAAAAGGATGCAAAAGATCATATAAGAACAGAAAGTTGGATTTGAAAGATTAGAAAATTAGAAAAGAAACTTTATAGTTATATTAAAACTACAATAATTGTTATGAACACGAAAAAAAGCCTATGCAGAAATGAAAGAATGTTGAAATTATATGAGACCCCGATTTGAAATACATTATTGGAATCGATCAGCATTTAAGGCACCATGTAACGCTGTGGGTCGTTGTGGCGAAGACCAAAAGAAATAAAATAGCACATCTATGATATGATCTCTTTCTTTTACGGGAATATCGTATTCAGCAAAAAAAAAAAAAAAAAAAAAAAATAAATTTCTAGAGATAATTAAATACCGAAAAAGCTAGAATAATTTCTGATAAAGCTTGATGTATGCTAAGAAGTGTACTAGTAAAATAATGATTACATTACGGTTCCAAATACTCACATGCACCTTTCCATAAAGGACGCGCATTTGAGACTTTTTATACTCATTTAAAATTAAAAGACTAAATTTTCGTAGGTACAAAAACTGTATTAAACAAATTCAATTATAAACGCTTAATGACAAGGCTTGAATCTTTTCTAAAGTAATACAAAATTAAAAGCTACTATTTCAGTGTACATTTAAAACGAGACCTATATTAATCTATCTAAGTTTATCTTTATTTTTACATAAAGGTAAAAATCCTAACTGTGATGCTTATATATCAGTCACTCATTGATAATAACACTACCTTTTTATAAAAGAAAGTAATGAAATCAATGGTTAATTGATCTCCAAATCAAAAAAGAAAGGAAAAAAAGGACAATCTACTTGTATTACAAATCAATGTTACAATCTTTTTTGCGCTCAAAATATGGCTATCAACGTTGAAAAAAAAAAAGGAATAAAAGAACCAAGAAATATAAAATGGATTCAAATCCAAAAATAAACTTATTCAAAAAAAAAAAAAAATCTTAATTTCTCAAAAAAAGAACTCAAGTTACGGCGTACAAATAACTATTAATTTTATAAATTTGCAATTAATACAGTATTGTTATACCGTAGGAAAGGAAAATCCAACGGCCATTATTTGAATTCACCCTCATTCACTTTCCGCGCTCTGCCAAAAACTGAAAAATTCCCTTTTCAGTATTTCATTGGTTTCGAAAATTCAAAAATTTCTATCCACAAAAGTCTTTTTTCAAAAATACAGAGGAAATCAAAACTCCATAACATTTGTCATTCTTAAGCCAAAACATCCGTTTCATCATTCTGTTTTATTTATCTCTGATTGCAAAATATTGCTCACAGTTAATTGACAGGTTTTTTTTTTTCCGATTCATTCATCCAATTTTCCAAATCTCTCAATATGAACTTTTCCCCAAAATCATTTCTTCCGAATATGGTAACTTAGATTATACCCGACTTAGCAGATAAGATGGTAGCAACATCAAAGGTCAAAGGGGACAACTGTGAGCTATGTAAAAGATTTAGCAATATATCGTATAAATAGAACAGTTAAACCACAGTTCTCTAAAATTTTATACAGAAGCCAAATTGGCAAAAATGAATCATTTAAATTCTTCGTACTGTAATTAAATATCTTATGAGCATTACAAAATTCCCTACAAATAAAGGAATATCAACTTCAGATTTCTCTACAAACATAGGAATATCACACTTCAGAGAAATTGGAAATATACATAAAAACAAATCGGCATACATTCATTTACATTTTTATAAAAAACCTAATAAAATCAGCGACGAAACTGGGACTTACGAAAATCAACTAAAGAAATAGTGAAAATAGTGGATGCAATTTTAATACTATTGAAATTCTAAAGTAGTGAAATGAAAGTAATGGCATGAGAAAAGGAAAAGTAGTTAAGCTAAAAAGAACTAAAAAGAAAAAACACTTTTTTAGAGAAATCAATGTTTAAAACTTGGGTACAAAAATGAACAATGCTGCAGTATTTGAAATAAGCTAGCTCTATATTACTGCAATTCTTCCATCAAAATCCATAAAAAGCAAATAACCACCACAAAAAAAAAAAAAAAAAAATAAAAATTCACAAAAAATGACGAAAAAAACGAAACAACAAATTAGCATATAGCAATACAAACCGAAGGAAAAGAAGATCCAGGTAATGATTAAGAATTTTTTTTTTCTTTTTTTCAATATTAAGTTTGTGGTGGCTGTTGTAGACCAAGTGCATTGAATAAACGTGATTTTAAACCAGATGATGATTGTGACTGAGTCATACCACGATGTATTTCTGAAGCAGTAGCAGTAGTAATAGGTGACATTAACGAATCATCCGCATATGTACTAGTAGCTGTTAATGCTGACTGATGACCAGACACAGGCGGTTCATGCTGCAAATAATCAAAAACTATACACTACATTCACTTGAACAAACAATCATTAAGTTTTCTTTTTTTCCTTCTATGAGGAAAAAAGAAACTTGCAACAAGATAAAACCAAATAGAGAGAAAGAAAAAAAAAACAATAACAACACAACAATCAACAAAAATAAGAAATATTACGATTGATATGCTCGATTTCTCTTACTACTATTCCACAAAAATAGTAATAACTGCAAATTTTGAAGAATAAAGAACGATGACAGAAATGAGCATGATAGGAGAATCTTTCAAATGTACCCGAGTACAGGACAACATCACGAAACAAAATTTATGCATGCAAGAGGTGAAAATCTGACAAAGGAAGCAACATCGTAAATTTACAGACCCCTTTCGTTATCAAAAGGAAAAATAACACATATATACTAAGGTTGTAACGTCAAGAATGAAGAAGGAAGTACATCCTTTTCTACACTACCAGAATTTCGAACATGAAAAAGAAGCGTTATAAGGATTTGGTATCAATTTGAAGTGTTGTCGACTGTACTTTACTACCACCAGTACAGAGTAATAAATTGCTCAAATCAGAGTTTTCTAAATTAACTCCACTTTTTTGCAATATTATGGTACTGAACACCAAAACACAAAAAACACCAAATGCGACAAAAGCTTGTGTATATCATAAGACAATATTTATAAACACAAGCGGTTTGAACAAACCTCAACACCTTCATGAGGTGGTGATAAATTAGTTGTATGTTCGGCAATCAAGCGAGCTACTTTCGCTTGATGAGCTGCATCCAAGCACTACTGTCCATTTTTATGCCCATTTTTAAATCACATTTCAAAGAGTTAAAATTTCAACCGAGAAAGGTAAAAGTTGCTAAGATGAAAATAAAGATGAGATAACTTAAAATAGTTAAAGCTATTGTCAACAATCCCACAGTCAGCTGATGCATAAAATTTCTACACAAGGTTTAAAATATGAAGAATAATTGAAATGCAATTTGTTACAGCAACTAAACGCTTCTAAATAATCCAACAATCAAAATAAAACTAAACTAATAATGTATTCGGATCCTTCATGGTTACCTGTTCTCAGTTAATGTCTGAACTCTCTTTAGGGAATGAAACTAAAAATAAACAATAGCTTACCTGCTTTTTGGCTCGCAATGCAGCATCTTCAAGAGTTTCCGCTGCTTCGTACTTCCCTTGACGTCTGTACAATGCTCCAAGATTCTTTAACGTGGTGGTTACTGTTGGACTACAATAAAATCTACAGTTTCTGAATTTGAAAAAAAAAAAAAAAAACAAGTAATCGAAAATAAGCAAAGCCACAATATTTTTAAATCATATTTTGCGAAACAAGAACTTTTTAGATAAAAAACATACTTCACCTGTTTTCCACGAAAAAAACATAAAGAATGCAAGTGATAAGCTCAAGACTTCAATACTTCACAAATCACCTGTCAACTTTTGCAGCTTTGTGCCAACCACCATATTCCTGATACGAGCTTGTATCACCTCCTTTATGTTTATTCTCTTCACGATCTTCAGCAATTTGCCAAATTGGCTTATTGTCATCCGCTACTTTCCCAAATTCACGTTCATGAGCACGAGTTAAGATCTGTTTGTAGAGGATTTCAGCATCCTGAAAATTCACTGAATTAAAAATTATCATCAGAAGAAACATGACCAAAAGTTTTAAGTAAAGATATCACTGAAGAAAGATAAAGACTGATCCCAAATATACAAAAACTTTAAACTGGAAGGCAAAAATATAAACAAAATTGTGTGATATTCTATATTCGTAACATTCAAGAAGTATGTTTATCTACTATAAAAATACATATTGCCAGCACACTGCAATGTGCCGATTGTAAAAAATATACTATTAGTATTAAAAAACAACTTCATACGTTATTTTTTTTTAACCAAACTAAAAAGGTAACTCTGTAGCAAATTTTAATCAACTAAAAGATAACTCTGTAGTTGTTCGCAACGAGAAAACTATTAATTAACTATTAATTCTATTTAGCATGAATGCTTCAAAATATTAAGACTATGACGAATACAATACTGTGAATCTCATATCCAATAAGCAGAAGAAAAGGCAAAAAGAAAACTGCAACGAGTTCTATCATTTTGTGAAGAGAAAAAATGAAGGAAACATTAAGTTACATTTTCAGAATATGAAATATTAATTACATTTTCAGAATATGAAATAGAAACCAAAATGCAGTAACCTGTTGTTCATCATATTTCTTGATCGAATTCATATATTCTAAGTGCTTTTTTTCCTCTTCCAATTGTGCTACTTGCTGTAATTTAATTGTTGTTAAAAATTTGCCAGAGAAAAGCTCAAAAATTAGAAAGAATCGTAAAAAAGGAATTCTTTTTTTGTCCTTTAATAGGAATTCTTTTTTTGTTCTTTAATTGATGTCAACAAACCTGTCCAATGGTTTGCAATTTTTGCTGCGTTGAATTTAATTCATCTCGAAGCCATGCATTCTCTTGACAAAGTCTTCGTACTTGCGCTTTCAACTTCTGTTCCTCGGCTTCTACTGCCTGTAGATGACCAGCTAATGCCATCATAACCTAAATTACTTTTAATAAAATTAATCCCGAACTTTTACTGACTTACTGCTGATAGATATAAAGAATAAAAAAGAAAAATATTATTTTTTGTTAAAAAAAAAAGAAAAAAAAAAAACTAAATTCTAACCTGAGCTTCTTCGATGCCTAAGCGTAACATTTCCAAATTTCTGTCCACAATATGTGTCTTTTCCTCACTAAGTGCCGATTCATCAGCATGCAATCCTTGAATACCACTCACTAATGTACCCTGTAATGGTAATTATTGTTTAGAAGAGTAAACGAATTCTAAGATCGCTTTTTCAGAAAATCATCGGAATATTTGTCTATTTACCTTAACCGATTCATGTTCATTCTTCAGTGCTTCCAAACCCTGCACAACTGTACGCTTACTTCGTAAGATCTCTTCCTGTGATAATACTGTCATTCTGCCGATATCCACTATTTTTTTCCTAAAAAATATCATAACCAAATTAAAAAAAAATTTTTTTTTTTTGAATCTTTGAAGATATTTTTCAAATTGTAAAGAAGGTGAAAAATGTTCAAAAACGTCGCTATTTATAAAATCTGTGGTCATGGATACCTCAACAAAAGGAGAAATTAACGCGTAAAGTGAATGCAACTAACACGTAAAGTGAATGACAAAACCTATTAAAGAGGTAGACAAACAACATCACTTAAAATGTTAAAACCCAAGAACAAACCATTCAAGCTTCCACCGCAAAAGTCTCTTTACCCGCTTTTTTCACCTACATTAAGCTCAAAGAATATGACAAATGGAGTAAAAGCAATGGAAGGAAAAAACAATAAAACTGAAGAAGTCGAGATCGAAATATCATATAAATGTTGCATATAAATATAAAATGCATATAAATGTTGCTGGATTAATCAAAAAACCAAACTTGTTGTCAAAAGAGAGAGAGAGAGAGAGAGAGAGAGAGAAAGATATAAGGATGCTATTATTGATGGTGCTAATATCATTGCTCACACTATTCATACGATAAGGGACCGTTCATCAAAGTGATAATTTATAACTATCACTTTAAAATAGTGATAGTTATAAATCATTCTTTCAATTGAAATTAAATTTTAATTCAAATTTAAATTTTTATTATTAAGAAAATGCTGCAATTTGTATTAGTTCTTTTATATAAAACTTAAAAATAAGTTCTGGTTCTAGCAAACAAATTTCAATTTAATTAAGTGTTTGAACTACTAATTCATTTAAAAATAAACATTTATTGAACTTAATTGATTACTTTTATTTGCATTAAACTTGATCTGCTTGACTTTTTTTGACATCTTATGTCAACTTTAAAGCAAACTTTCATTGCAGAAATTAATTAAATCTGCAATTATAATTGATTTCAATTATTTTTTAAATATTAAAATTATTTCTAGTCACAATTCTATATAGAATTACTTAAGAAATTTCGACAGTTTTTAAAAGTTTTTATAAATTAATATTAAAAACATTTTAATTTTTACTAATTTCATATTTACTAAAAAGGATGAAAAGTAATTTTAAAATAGTGATACTTATAAATCATTCTTGCAATTAAAATTAAATTTGAATACAAATTTAAATTCTTATTTTTAGGAAAATGCTGCAATTTGTATTAGTTCCTTTATATAAAGCTTAAAAATAAGTTCTGGTTCTAGCAAATTTCAATTTAATTAAGTGTTTGAAAAACTTAAAAGCATAATTTAATTAGAAAAAAAAGACATAATTTGAACTTAATTGATTATTTTCTATGTTCTGTATGGTCACTGATTACACTCGGTGTGGTCATTTTTCAACTTAAATAATAAATTCAACTTTAATAACTGAGTTTTAAACATCATTTCAGCAGCAAAATTAATTAAATTTTAAAATAGTGATAGGTATAAATCATTCTTGCAATTAAAATTGAATTTTAATTCAAATTTAAATTTTTATTATTAGGAAATATTCGAAGAAAAAAATGATGGAACAGTCTCCGTATATTAGATGAAAAAAAAAAAAAAAAAGAAAATCTTCATGAGCGCGGAAGATTGCAGAGAAATACTATTATCATGAATGTTCATTTTCGTCACTATTTTCCTGTCTTTTTGTTGTGTCAGAATTATGAGTATCAGGGAAAGTATGGGATATTTAATGATTAGCATAAATGGAATTATGTGTAGGTAAATTAAAATATGTAAATCAGTGTTTTTTTACCATAAGTAAATAATAGTTATGTCACTGGTCTTTGTGCTTAATGAATGATAAGTTTGCTAATTTTATAGAATTGCGGCTCCTATGGAGGATCAAGAAATCGAAGTGCTTTTCGAATACCTTAAAAGGGAGCCGGAGATGTACCGGATTTTGCAAAGGTTCGTGAGCAGGACTGTTCAGGTAATTTTCACTTTGTCTTCTTTTTTGCTTTTATTTTTTATATTATTATTATTTTTTTTTTTTTTTTTTATAAATTGATACAGTATGAAGAAAGAGTTGCTAAACTTTGCACTGTCTCAAATTTAAAAAGTGACTGTAAAAAATAGCTTTTTCAATTTGAACAGTCGCTCATAGAAAGGATGGCAGAGGCGGGGTGGAGGATGGAGGAACTGGTAGGGCAGCCAGCAATGGAAGAGAACCCGGTACCTCAGGAGTCTGAATTTAATGAAGAAGAGGTAGAGTGGGCACTCTGCCTGAAAATGGATATGATGAGGCCGAGAACTGGCCATCAGAAGCAGAGTGGACCCCTCTGCCAGAAGAAGATGAAGAAGGAGAAGAGCCTGAGGTACCGGGGGTACCAATGAAGATCGAGGAACCGGTGGAGGCAGTACGTAAACTCGTCCTGTAAGTTTAAGTTTTAGCAGCAATTGTACAGCAATTGTATTAATTTGCTAACTAGATATCAACTTACCTGCCAAATAATTTGCAATAAATAAAAAACTGTTTCAGGTGAACGAAAACAATCAGAATCCCGGTTCCTGCCATGCAAGAAGCAATGGCTGCGTCACCTCCGGAAAAGTTAGAACCAGCTGATTTAAAAGATCTTCCGGAGCAACTCCCAAGAGAATTGATAGTGCCGCAAGCAGAGCCATACACGGGGCACAAGGAGAAGGAAACAAGAACATCGGTAAGTTATAATTTTAATAACTTAAGAAATGATTATATGCCGCAATTTGTAGAAGAAATATAATCATATTTTGACTTCGTACTGATAAAATCATATGATTTCATCGAAAATTTCATCCTTTATAATGCACCAAAACGATTACAAAATTCTATATCGATACTCGAAGAACAATTTGTGCAACAATATTTTCTTACTATTTCTGTTTTCAAACTGCAGGCAGTTTGAAACGTTGAAAGGGTGGCATATAAATTAATCAATTAAGTTCAAAATATCTATTTTTTTTAATGGTTTTAGCATTTAATTAAAATGAAATTTGATAATACTACAATTTTTTCCCTTGTCTATTATAAAAAAACTCTTATAAATTGTTGAATTTACATAAAAATCAACATTTAAATTTGAAATAAAAATCAATTTATTTCGCAAAAATGAATTAAAACTATGACTAATTAAAATTTTAGTAATTTCGCTGCTACAATATTGCTCAAAATATAATTATTTATTTTATTATTTTGAACTGTCAAATGACCACACCTTAAAATGATCAATTCCCGTACAATACATGCAAAATAATCAATTAAGTTGATTATATATATATATATATATATTTAAATGAATTGCTATTTTCAATAGTATTCATAGTTAATTTAAATGAAATTTGATAATACTACATTTTAACTTTTAGTCTAATATACAAAAATTGATTTTTGTGAAAATTTAAAGTTTGAAATAAAACTTAAGCCTAAGTTTATCCTAAGTCTAAATCTGGGCCTAAAGTTTATCATATTATTCAAGCTGTTAGATGGCCACACTGTATACGAGCAGTTCCCGTACAATGCATATCAAACAATTAACTAAGTTCTATTTATCTATTTTTTTGATGAATTAATATTTTTTAATAGTTCTTACAATTTGATAGTCAATATACAAAAATTCTTAAAAATTGTATAATTTTCATAAAAATTATTATTTAAATTTTATATTTATTAAACATTATTTCATTAATTAAGCTTTTAGCCTTCCAATGTTAAGTTTGTGCGTCATTTTCAATTATTTTTGATTTTGAGGTAAAATATGAATTAAATTGAATCTTCATTAAAAAAGTACAAATATTTTAAAATTATCCAGCATTTTGCTTACGGTAATATATTCAAGCAATGATGATCTTTGTTTTGAGGTAAAATTTTTCTCACAGTATTATTTGAATGAGCAATTTTAATTATAAAAAAAATAATAAAATGGAAACCAAAAGAAGATAAATTACACTAGATATTCTCTGCACTCTTTGACACGCTACTTATAATTTGCTCAGTGATTATTAAAGTTTGTTCCACCCATGTATGGTCTTTTATCACGTGTTTTTTGCATAAATTTAAAGATGGCAGCGAATTTTATAGTCTTTTGTTGTATTTTGCTTGCATAATGTCTGCAAATTTCATGCAGGCATTTCTGATTTACGGCTGTTTATTTATGTGCTGCTGTAAGGGCATATCATCAACTCAAACACTAAAGTGAGTCATGCCAGCATTAACGCTTGCATTTTTTTCTAAATCATTCATTGCAACACTGCTTATAACCATAGACTGCGTGTAAAATAAGCTAAAAGCGTCAAAAAAGTTGTCATCTTTTATTTTACCAATATGCACGTACGCACAACAACCAATATGAATGAATGTGCCACGTTTATTTTGATTACAGTAAAGCTTATTGCAGAGATGAATGAGTGGTGCAGTACATTTTCCTTCAGCCAAATGTTCATATGAATTTTTTTAGCTATAGGCGCTGCAACTGGCAATGCTGAAGTACCGATGGAATGCTGCTGCTGCCGCTGCTATATTATGGTAATTAGTTATCTCGTATCGATTGATGACTTTCCTCTGTACATTATGGATGACTAATTTTGTCTACTTACACGATATACCAAATGATTAATAAAGAATGTAAGGGTGAAATCCAAAAATGATGTTAGAATAAACGAATTTGAGGCGATTTTGCATGGGTATTTTGTACTTCCATCAGGGCTGCACAGTGATACGTACACACAATGTGCTAGGATTTTGAGAATCCAAGGAGAGAAATGAAAGTCTGTGAGCTACTAGCAAATAAAATAAAAAAAAAAGAGCTAAAACTCCACAGATTTAATTAATACTCTTTTCTGCAATTGCTGGATAATTGTTGGTTTCTGCGTTGTTATTCATCGAGTAAAATCCTTTTTTTGTATTTCTATTAAGGATTTGACAATAAAAAATTTCAAAAATTTAATTGTTACATAGTGAAACAACAAAATTTCTCTTCTATTTTTTCTTAAGAGATTTTTCAATCTAAGTGATTTTTTTTATAAATTTTAAAATCTGTCGAAATTTCTTAAGTAACCAATCTGGATTTGTGACTAAAATTAATTTTAATATTTAAAAATATTTGAAATCAATTATAGTTGCAGATCTAATTAATTTCTGCAATGAAAGTTTGCTTTAAAATTAACTTTTAAGTTCTAAATTGATATAAAATGTCAAAAATAGTAAAAAGAATGTCAGCAGATCAAGTTTTATGCAAATAAAAGTAATCAATTAAGTTCAGTAAATGTTTATTTTTAGAAAAAATATATTTTTCCGGCATTGGCAGATTTTATTTGAAACAGAATTATTAAAAATTAAAACATCTTTAACATTTAAATTATTAAAACTTTTAAAATCTGTCGAAATTTCTGTAGTAACCCAACCCTGATTTGTGACTAAAATTAATTTTAATGTTTAAAAAATATTTGAAATCAATTATAATTGCAGATTTAATTAATTTCAGCAATGAAAGTTTGCTTTAAAGTTAACTTTTAAAGTCCAAAGTTAGCATAAAATGTCAAAAATAGTAAATAGAATGTCAGCCGATCAACTTTAATGCAAATAAAAGTAATCAATTAATCAATTAAGTTCAATAAATGTTTATTTTTAGAAAAAAATATATTTTCCGGCATTGGCAGATTTTATTTGAAACAGAATTATTAAAAATTAAAACATTTTTAGTATTTATTTTATTAAAACATTTAAAATCTGTCGAAATTTCTGTAGTAACCCAATCTTGATTTGGACTAAAATTAATTTTAATATTTAAAAATATTTGAAATCAATTATAATTGCATTTTAAAAAATTTCTGCAATGAAAGTTTGCTTTAAAGTTAACTTATAAAGTCAGAAGTTAGCAAAAAATGTCAAAAATAGTAAATAGAATGTCAGCAGATCAAGTTTAATGCAAATAAAAGTAATCAATTAAGTTCAATAAAATGCAAATAAAGTAATCAATTAAGTTCAATAAATGTTTATTTTTAGATGAAATATATTTTCCCGGCATTGGAAGATTTTATTTGAAACAGAATTATTAAAAATTAAAACATTTTTAGTATTTATTTTATTAAAACTTTTAAAATCTGTCGAAATTTCTGTGGTAACCCAATCTAGAATTGTGACTGAAATTAATTTTAATACTAAAAAAATATTTGAAATCAATTATAATTGCAGATTTCATTAATTTCTGCAATGAAAGTTTGCTTTAAGGTTAACTTTTAAGTACAAATTTAGCATTAAATGTCAATAATATAATTAAAATATCAGCAGCTCGAGTTAATTCAAATAAAAGTAATCAATTAAGTTCAATAAATGTTTATTTTTAAATGAATTACATTTTTCCAGCACAGGTAGATTTTATTTGAAACAGAATTATTAAAAATTAAACATTTTTAGTATTTATTTTATTAAAACTTTTAAAATCTGTCGAAATTTCTGTGGTAACCCAATCTAGAATTGTGACTAAAAATAATTTTAATGTTTAAAAATATTTGAAAACAATTATAATTGCAGATTTAAATAATTTCTGCAATGAAAGTTTGCTTTAAAGTTAACTTTTAAAGTCCAAAATTAGCATAAAATGTCAAAAATAGTAAATAGAATGTCAGCCGATCAACTTTAATGCAAATAAAAGTAATCAATTAATCAATTAAGTTCAATAAATGTTTATTTTTAGAAAAATATTTTTTCCGGCATTGGCAGATTTTATTTGAAACAGAATTATTAAAAATTAAAACATTTTTAGTATATATTTTATTAAAACTTTTAAAATCTGTCGAAATTTCTGTAGTAACCCAATCTGGATTTGTGACTGAAATTAATTTTAATACTTAAAAAATATTTGAAATCAATTATAATTGCAGATTTCATTAATTTCTGCAATGAAAGTTTGCTTTAAGGTTAACTTTTAAAGTCCAAATTTAGCATTAAATGTCAATAATATAAATTAAAATATCAGCAGCTCGAGTTAATTCAAATAAAAGTAATCAATTAAGTTCAATAAATTTTCTTTTTAAATGAATTACATTTTTCCAGCACAGGTAGATTTTATTTGAAACAGAATTATTAAAAATTAAAACATTTTTAGTATTTATTTTATTAAAACTTTTTAAAATCTGTCGAAATTTCTGTGGTAACCCAATCTAGAATTGTGACTAAAAATAATTTTAATGTTTAAAAAATATTTGAAAACAATTATAATTGCAGATTTAAATAATTTCTGCAATGAAAGTTTGCTTTAAAGTTAACTTTTAAAGTCCAAATTAGCATAAAATGTCAAAAATAGTAAATAGAATGTCAGCAGATCAAGTTTAATGCAAATAAAAGTAATCAATTAATCAATTAAGTTCAATAAATGTTTATTTTTAGAAAAATATTTTTTCCGGCATTGGCAGATTTTATTTGAAACAGAATTATTAAAATTAAAACATTTTTAGTATATATTTTATTAAACTTTTAAAATCTGTCGAAATTTCTGTGGTAACCCAATCTAGAATTGTGACTAAAATTATTTTAATGTTTAAAAAATATTTGAAATCAATTATAATTGCAGATTTAATTAATTTCTGCAATGAAAGTTTGCTTTAAAGTTATCTTTAAAGTCCAAAGTAAGCATAAAATGTCAAAAATAGTAAATAGAATGTCAGCCGATCAACTTTAATGCAAATAAAAGTAATCAATTAATCAATTAAGTTCAATAAATGTTTTTTTAGAAAAAATATATTTTCCCGGCATTGGAAGATTTTATTTCAAACAGAATTATTAAAAATTAAAACATTTTAGTATTTATTTTATTAAAACTTTTAAAATCTGTCGAAATTTCTGTGGTAACCCAATCTAGAATTGGACTAAAATTAATTTTAATATTTAAAAAGTATTTGAAATCAATTATAATTGCAGATTTAATTAATTTCTGCAATGAAAGTTTGCTTTAAAGTTAACTTTTAAAGTCCAAATTTAGCATTAAATGTCAATAATATAAATTAAAATATCAGCAGCTCGAGTTAATTCAAATAAAAGTAATCAATTCAGTTCAATAAATGTTTATTTTTAGATAAAATATATTTTTCCAGCACAGGTAGATTTTATTTGAAACAGAATTATTAAAAATTGAAACATTTTTAGTTTTTATTTTATTAAAACTTTTAAAATCTGTCGAAATTTCTGTGGTAACCCAATCTAGAATTGTGACTAAAAATAATTTTAATGTTTAAAAAATATTGAAAACAATTATAATTGCAGATTTAAATAATTTCTGCAATGAAAGTTTGCTTTAAAGTTAAGTCCAAAATTAGCATAAAATGTCAAAAAATAGTAAATTGAATGTCAGCAGATCAGTTTAATGCAAATAAAAAGTAATGAATTAAGTTCAATAAATGTTTATTTTTAGATAAAATATATTTGTCCGGCATTGGCAGATTTTGTTTGAAACAGAATTAAACGAAATTAAAACATTTTTAGTATTTATTTTATTAAAACATTTAAAATCTGTCGAAATTTCTGTAGTAACCCAATCTGGATTTGGACTAAAATTAATTTTAATATTTTAAAAATATTTGAAATCAATTATAATTGCATTTTAAAAATTTCTGCAATGAAATTTTGCTTTAAAGTTAACTTATAAAGTCAGAAGTTAGCAAAAAATGTCAAAAATAGTAAATAGAATGTCAGCAGATCAAGTTTAATGCAAATAAAAGTAATCAATTAAGTTCAATAAATGTTTATTTTTAAATGAATTACATTTTTTTAGCACAGGTAGATTTTATTTGAAACAGAATTTAGTAAAATTAAAACATTTTTAGTATTTATTTTATTAAAACTTTTAAAATCTGTCGAAATTTCTGTGGTAACCCAATCTAGAATTGTGACTAAAAATAATTTTAATGTTTAAAAAATATTGAAAACAATTATAATTGCAGATTTAAATAATTTCTGGCAATGAAAGTTGGCTTTAAAGTTAACTTTTAAAGTCCAAAGTTAGCATAAAATGTCAAAATAGTAAATAGAATGTCAGCGGATCAACTTTAATGCAAATAAAAGTAATCAATTAAGTTCAATAAATGTTTATTTTTAGATGAAATATATTTTCCCGGCATTGGCAGATTTATTTGAAACAGAATTATTATAAATTAAAACATTTTTAGTATATATTTTATTAAAACTTTTAAAATCTGTCGAAATTTCTGTGGTAACCCTATCTAGAATTGTGACTAAAATTAATTTTAATATTTAAAAAATATTTGAAATCAATTATAATTTCAGATTTAAATAATTTCTGCAATGAAAGTTTGCTTTAAGGTTAACTTTTAAAGTCCAAATTTAGCATTAAATGTCAATAATATAAATTAAAATATCAGCAGCTCGAGTTAATTTAAATAAAAGTAATCAATTAAGTTCAATAAATGTTTCTTTTTAAATGAATTACATTTTTCCAGCACAGTAGATTTTATTTGAAACAGAATTATTAAAATTGAAACATTTTTAGTATTTATTTTATTAAAACTTTTAAAATCTGTCGAAATTTCTGTAGTAACCCAATCTGGATTTGTGACTAAAAT